AGAAGGAGAAGCCAAATATTCTTCAAGAAGAGCAAGAGGAAGATCAAGAAGTTCCTGTTCATTCAACCAAGAATTATTTGAGGGTGGATGCCTTTTCCATTGCACCAAATAGCATCAGAAACCTCCATATTTAGAGCCAACAAATTGATCATCCAAAACCTTGATAACCTCCTCCTAGCAATGTGCAAGAGGGGGCTCTTTAGGAGTGGTTGTACTTGCAACATTACGAGAAGACAAAGCAGGGGGTTCAAATGTACCTTTATAAGGTGACAAATCTTCTACATTGAAAACTAAACTAATAGAATAATGATCAAGTAAATCAACTAAATATGCATTAGATCCAAGTTTTCGCATAATGGGATAAGGCCCCAATGGCTCTAGCATATAATTTTCTTGAAGCATTCTTTGGTGTTGTACCTATGATTTTGATGATTACAAAACACATTTGAGTGACTAATTGGTTTATTTAAGTGTGTAGTTAAATTGCTAAAAGATTGTAAGTAAACTTGGATTGCACTAAAAATAGACCAAAAGGATTCAAAAGGTGCAGTAAGCCGGCTCTTAAAAGCTGCAATCGGCTTTGGTGAAATGGAAGTGCAGAGAGCCGGCTTTAGAAGTTGCAGTCGGCTCTACGGGCAAAAATTTGAAGACGGTTGCTTGGCGTGCGCGGAGAAAAGACGCAAAGCCGGCTCCAACTTTATAGTCGGCTGTGAGGGTGCATTTAATGCACAGCGGTCGACTCTTTTGAAGAGTATTTAATATATTTAAAATCGAAATTCCAAAGCCGGCTCAAAATCTTGTAGTCGGCTCTCGAGGAAAACAGAATGGCCTGCAAACCTAGATAGCCGGATTTGGAAGTGTAAGCCGGCTCTGCAGAGCCGGCTCTAAAAAGTTAAGCCGACTCTCCTGACAATCCTGCAGCTCGAGCTTTGTGTCCTGCAGAGCATTTAATGACCCCCAACAGCTAGAAACGGCTATTTTCGAGCAAAGGGCTATGAATATGGTTGGTAACAGATTTGAACAAGTTTAGAGAGTATTGTATTGAATATCTTTACTTACCTACATAAGCTTTAACTAGAGATTTTGATCTTTGAGTGATCATTGCTTGTCATCCTCTTCTTGTGCTATTAGTGAGTGATCTTGGGGGTGTGTTGATTCCTTCAAGAGTGATCTGTTGAGAGGATTTTTGGGGTTTATCTTGTAAAGGGGTGAGATTTGAGAGAAACCCTTCTTCTTGTAAAGGATTGAGTGGCTCCTTTAAGCCACCCTTGTTTTTGTTAGTGGAGAGTGTGGAGGAAATCCTTGGTGAGTGAAGCCAAGGTAGAGGACTAGGCTCCAAGTGGTTGGACCGAACCTCTATAAATCATTGAGCAAGCTCTTCTTTTCTACTCTCTTTAATTTTGGTTTTGTGGTTGCAAAAAGGGGAGAATTTTTGGAACTCTAATTCACCCCCCCTCTTGGAGTACATTGAGTCAACATTTGGGACACGTTTAGGGTGAACTCGAACCATTACAAAATCACCAACACTAAAATCTTTAGCTTTAGCGATGCACATTAGTAACTAATTTATAATTAGCAGTATTCACAGCAATTTTTTGTCTAATCTTAGCATGCAAGTCATGGAGGTGTTGAGCAAAATATTTGGCAGGTTCATAACACGAAAATTAGGTGGTAAAGGAACAAGGTCAATAGGGGTATGAGGTTTGTAGCCATACACAATTTCAAATGGACTCTTGCTAGTGGTACGATGAACCGAATTGTTATATCCAAACTCAACAGTAGGCAAAACTAAGTCCCAATTACCTTGCTTCTCTCCAATACAACAATGTAAAAAATTCCCAAGACTATGGTTAACCACCTCGGTTTGGCCATTAGTTTGAGATTGAAAACTAGAAGAGAAGAGAAGGGTAGTACCACACAATTTCCATAATGTCTTCGACAAGTAACTAACAAACTTGACATCTCTATTTGACACAATTGACTCAGGTAAACCATGTAACTTGACAACCCTTCAAAACAACAATCTAGCGACATGAGATGCATCAGTAGTTTTGCCACATGGAAGAAAATGTGCCATTTTAGAGAACCTATCAACAACCACCAAAATGGAATGATGACCTCCAGTGGCTCTTGGTAACCCTAAGAAAAAATCCATGCTTATCTCTTTCCAAGGTGCGTGAGGAATAGAAAGGGGGGTGTACAGACTAGTATTTTGTTTTTTTGCCTTTGACACTTGACATGTATGACATTGGGT